TATGAGGCCAGGGAACATTAACTAAGAACAGGCTCACCAGCACACTGGTGAACTGCCAACCCCCCACCCCCCCGTGCCTGAATATCAGCTAAAGACATATTATGAGCAAAAAACCAGCGTTGAATGTAATGAAACGCCATTTTCTGGGTGAGACCCGGAGGCTCCTCGGAGCTATCCAGGCTGATATGCTAATACTGTATCAGACTTTTGGCATCAGTCAGTGTGAATGGAGTTCTTAGGCCTACTGGGGGGGACCACGAGCCAGAATTTGGCCCCTTCAGAGAGGCACAAGGAGCAATGGCCTATAGCCTGGCCTAGTCTAGGGCCAGGCTTGGGGAGTAGAAGAACTCCCAGAACCCCATCAAGCAGGTATAGAAACCCTCATGTGGTTGGAAGCATTCTATATCTACCATTGACTGGGTCAGGCACCCAGAAAAGTAAGCATCCCAAAACAAACCCCTATTCTGGTTAAGAAATTGCTACTGAGGGCCAAACTAGTGGACAGAACTCCCCAAGCAAAAACTAGCAAACGAGCATGACGTTACAATGTCGTCTCGCCGCCATTCAGACCTTAGTTCTGAGGCTAGATATCAAAACACGCGAAAAACCGCCGACCAGAGGGAGGAAGGGTTGCCGGGGAGCCTCTGGGTCTCGCCCACAAAATGGCTTTTCATTACATTCAATGCTTGTTTTCTGGGGAAGCTTCTTACCCAATTTTCCCCGGAGCTTCTTACCCAATGACAATAACAAGAGGGACTTACCCAGGAGGTGGTCGTTGCTTGTACCTCAATGCGAAGCTGAGACAACTGGCTGCAACCGACCCAAAGCGACACAGGCCCGATGAGGCCCATGAACATTCACGAGGTAACGTGCAGCCAGGACCCTGTTCGACCGCCAAAGGCCCTGTGCCCGAATGTCAGCCCAAGACATGTTGCCAAAGATGGCAGGAAGAGAAGCAAATTTACGAATGTTGTGGGCACAGGGATAGACCGCAGGCTGGCTACACTGAATAACCCTGCAGACTACCTGGGAGACCCCGTACCCTGGAAAAGAAAAGGGAAACTGGATCAACCCAAAGTGCGTTCCCGGACACAGAGGCCGTGGCGCACAAATAACGGCGGAGAGCTGCAACTGGACACAACACATGATGCACCCCCGGCCTGACCAACCAAGCATCAACAACCCAAGGAGCCCTCCGGAAAGCAGCAGACTCATTCTCCATCAGAAAAGAAGGAGACGGCTGCAAGCGAACAAACCTATCACGAGGACCAAAAGAGCAGAAAGCCCTGTGCCGGAGGAGAGCATCAAGCTCCCCGACCCAACCCCCCCAGAGGTTAATACCATCAGGAAAAGAGCCTTAGCAAAACAATCCTGAACCGAAGAGGCCACAACAAACCGAGGAGATGAGAGAAAAGAAAGCACCTGATCCAAAGACAAGGACGGCTCAAGCCGCGCATGAGCAGGCTGGAGGTGAAACAATGCACGAGACAGTTTGCGAAATGGCGCAGAAGTGATATCAATACCGAAGGCAAACTGTAGTGGCTTCGCCAGTCCTGCAAGATATGAGGAAACAGTATTCGGTATAAGATGACTGTCCTGAAACAACCACGAGAGAAAGGACAAAACATCCTCCTAATAAACTGAACCCCCCCGGGACGTGTACACCTCAGAGACCTAGCAGGGGGGTACCACCAGAAAAGAGGAGCGTAAGCAATACACAAGGGGGCAACAACCAAGGCAGACCCCCCTACCAGGCAGGAAAACAAAAAGAAAAAACCCCGCAAGAGGACAACATAGCCAGGCGGAACAAAGCTGGCCGCTATGAGAGGTAAAAACTAGCTGCGCAGTACCCTGCGCCCCTACCAGTGCAAACTGCCTTCTACCCTAAGGTGAACAAGGGTGCCAGAACACCCCAGCACACAATGGGTGGCCAAAAGCTGAGCAGCAAATGCCCAAGCAAAGGCAGAACCCAAGGAACTTGTGGAAGGAGGCCCCAAGGCCAGTACTTACAGGGCACCTAGGGAGGGGAACTCTAGGTGCATGCAGCCCGAGTACACTCCTGGCTCACGCATCCCAAGAAGACAGCCACCACACCACAGGCAGAGAGCTGAGCACTAATGTCAGGAACCAGAGCACACGACTTTCGCCTAGCGCATTAGCCTTTGAACTAAGGTCTTGGGTAGCAAGTGTGAGGGGTCTGGGGCTCCCCCTTCCCCCTCCCGGGGAGGGGGGAGCTGTGCAGACGACAGCCACATAGTGACATCATGCTCATTTGCTGGTTTTTGCTTGGGGAGTTCTGTCCACTAGTTTGGCTCTCAGTAGCAATTTCTTAACCAGAATAAGGGTTTGTTTTGGGATGCTTACCTTTCTGGGTGCCTGACCCGGCTGATGGCAGATATTGAATGCTTCCAACCACATGGGGTTTCTATAGGCCATTGCTCCTCGTGCTTCTCTGAGGGGGTCCAGATTCTGGCTCATGGTCCCAGGTAGGCCTAAGAACTCCATTTACACTGACTGATGCCAAAAGTCTAATATTAGCATATCAGCCTGGATAGCTCCGGGGAGCCAACGGGTCTCCCCCCAGAAACGGCCACAAGGGCGACATACTTTTGAACATCAAGGGCAGAGTGCAAGCTGATAAGATTTAATGACAATATAGACAACCAGAAAAATAAGCCTTGGAACAGGGAGACAAGAAAACAGAATCAACACACATCAACCCATCCACTGAAGCAGAATCGGTGGCATGAAGTTAGTAACAGAGCCATCACTGGACATAGTACATGATGCATTCCTAGCCCAACCAACCAAGCTTCAACACCAAAGGACCCATCTGAAAGCTGGTTGATTCATTTGTTGCCAGAAAAGAAGGAACCATCTGCAGACGAACAAAACACATATTAGGGTCAAAAGAACAAAATTTCTTCGTGATCGGATCTGCCATCTAGTGGCGAATTTGGGAGGTTGGCACAGGGTAATAACTTGTGTCTAACACATTGTTGACATCAGCATCAGATATTTTAAAGTGATAGTGTAATTTTCTGTGCTGTTTGTCAAGGTGTAGGGTATTTTAACCCTTAAACTGCGCAACGCACCTGCAGGCCCTCGTCTTGTTAGCGCAACGTGCCTCTGGGTGTTCGTATTTTTCATGTTCCATTCAAAACTCCCGCAGCTACATGGGGTTCACATCAGCTTCCTCAGGGCTCTTGTAAACAGACGCCATCTTTAAAAAAAATCATGGGCCACATTCCCGGGTGTGAGAGCCTCAGTACTGAGTGAGCAACCAAGGCTGGTGCACACAGCATGAGCTCACAGCACTGCTGTTCAGCTTGTGACCACAGCATCGCCTAATAATGTCAAAATATATATATAACTTGTATTATGAGTGTGATAATGACTGTGAACAATGTTCAAATATCAGTGATTCAATGCTGTTCACGATGTTCACAGCGCTAGCCAGAGCACCACAGCATTATTTCGTCCATCTAGGAATCTTCAAGCGACTTCCTAGGTTCCTTTACAAAGTAAACTTGTGGTCAATTATTCATTTTCACGATTTAGTGACCAGTATTGTAATAACAGCAGGATTGTGGTGATAATAAGTACTGTGCATAGTATTGTGGGAGGAGGAATTGTGGTGAGGGAGGGAGGGAGGGAGAGAATCGAGGTAGCCTCACTATGTGTGTGTGTGGCAGCCACTCTTGTTTTGCTCATCATACTAGCTTAGTGGTTTGCTATGGTGAACATATATGTACATGGGTATATATAGTGTGTGTATATACCTATGTACATATGTGCGTAGTATTGTGGGAGTTAGAATTGTGGTGAGGGAGGGAGGGAGAGAATCGAGGTAGCCTCACTGTGTGTGTATGTGTGTGGCAGCCACTCTTGTTTTGTTCACCATGCTAGCTTAGTGGTTCGCTATGGTGAACACATTTGTACATGGGTATATACAATGTGTGTATATAGTGTAATAACAGCAACAGGAGTATGTTGGGAGGAGCTATTTTGGCGAGGGAGGTGACATAATCGTAGCGTCGTCTGCTGGCTGCTGTGTGATTTCTCATGCAGTGTATGGTGGGAACTGTAAAGTCGAGACACAATACCGGCTTACTTGCATAGTTCTGGTGAATAAAACATGTAGATAGGTATACATAACATGTGTAAATAGTGTAATTAAAACACTAACAGTAAAGTGGGAGGAGCACTGCTGGCGAGTAAGATGTTGGAGGAGTGAGGGAGACACTAGATGTTGGAGGAGTGAGGGTGTGGCAGCTGATACTCGCGGAGTTCTGAGTGTGTTGATGGTGAATGTATATAGTGTGTGATAGTGTATAGTGTGTAAATAGATTGTATATATAGATAAATTAGCATGATGCATGGGAAATGTGTGCAACATGTGTGTCACATGTGTCATGCACGTAACAGTGTCTTCGAACAGTACGGATATTCTACTGCCATAATACAGTATACGTGTTCATTATACATACGATTGGCACGAAAAAACAAATAAAATGTATTTGGAACTGTGTGCAAAAGAAATGAACATCATCAACAAAAATATATTCGCGGCAACTCGCACATCCTTCCCAGGGTGCCCTATTGGCCCCGGGGAAGTACGCCCCAGGGGGCACAAGGGAATGATGATGTCACGCACGAACTTACGGACCCCATAGCAGCCAAAGTACGTACTATTTTGACCTTCTGTTACTATACCTATACTCAGGGAAGGGTTTTTGACACTTTTAAAACGAAAAAGAATTTTTTCCAGATAATTTATTTCCAGTGCAGTGGGGGGGGGGGGGGTTGTCATATTTGGAAGCCAAGCAGTTTAGGGGTTAAGCCCCTATGTACCATCACATGTTGAACATGTTGAATGCTATACCATTTTATGCTACATGCGTTAACAGTTGTTGCACTCACAAAGATGCAGTACTGATGTTGAGTGTTATTACAGTATATATTGCAAATGTTGAATGTTGTATCTTTGTATATTACAGATGTTGAGTTTTGTACCATCACTGAAAGAGCTGCACATTGTTGATTGCTTCCTAATGAAACTAGAGAGGCTAGATAATGTAACACATCTGCACAAGCTTAATATTGTTGGTAAGTCACAGTGCATAGCTTGTAATTGTTGGTAAGTTGCAGAATATAGCTTGTAATTGTTGGTAAATCACAGGACATAGCTTGTTGAGAAAATGAATTATAGCAATGTGGGGATTCGAACCAGTGACCTTGGTACTTCCAACCACACAACTTAACCCATTGGACTATAATAGTATGCTGTAAGTAATTTAACTTGGGATCCTACTGAATCCAATACAGTAATGGTCTTAAGGCACTGAGCTGATACCAAATTAAATTTTTACAAATTACCCGCATACACAAAGGCACAAATGTACAAAGATGTGTGTAACTAAATAACTTCGAGAACTGAAAGACAAAAGCTGCAAGTGATGGATGCATTGAATATGCCAAAATTACAAGATATAAGAAAAAGAGGCGATATGATCACTATGTACAAAATAATAACAGGAATCGGTGAAATGGATTAGAAAGAATTCCTGAGACCTGGAACTTCAAGAACAAGAAATCATAGATTATCTGTGTAAACAAAGCTGCTGTAAATATAAGAAAGTTCACTTTTGCAAATAGTGGTAGACAGTTGGAACAAATTAGGTGAGAAGGTGGTGGAGGCTAAAACCATCAGTAATGTAGTTTCAGTGTTATATAACAAAGAGTGCAGAGAAGATGGGACACCACAAGCATAGATCTCATTCTGTAACTACATTTAGGTAATTACATTCTGGTATGGATACTGTATAGGCATTTTCCACCAAATGCTCCCTTCAAACACGTAAGAAAATCACACTAACATGGTGTATCAATGTGAAAATAAATGGGAGCAATGTGGGGAGTTGAACCAGTGACCTGGGGACTCCCAGCTGCACGCCTTAACCCACTGGACCATGATATGCTATAAGTAATTTAATCTGGGATCCTATGTTTTCATTCATACATCACATTAGTGGGATTTCCTTGTGCATTTGAAGGGAGTGTATGGTGGAGAACTCCTGTACCCACACCAGAGTGTACACAGATAACTTGTAAACACTTGATTTGGTATCAGCTCATTACCCCAAGACCCGTAGTGGATTCAGTAGGATCTCAGATTAAATTATTGTTAACTTATTGTGGTCCAGTGGGTTAAGATGCACGGCTGGGAGTACCCCGGTCACTGGTTCAATTTCCCCACACTGCTCCAATTGATTTTCTCATTGATTCATCACATTTGTGTGATTTCTGTGTGTATATAGCTTGTTATTGATGTTAAGTTACAGAACATCTCTTGATTATATTTGTAAGTTAGAGAACATAGCTTGTTATTGTTGGTAAGTCATAGCACTTAGCTTGTTATTGTTGGTAAGTCATAGCACTTAGCTTGTTATTGTTGGTAAGTCATAGCACTTAGCTTGTTATTGTTGGTAAGTCATAGCACTTAGCTTGTTATTGTTGGTAAGTCATAGCACTTTGCTTGTTATTGTTGGTAAGTCATAGCACTTAGCTTGTTATTGTTGGTAAGTCATAGCACTTAGCGTGTTATTGTTGGTAAGTCATAGCACTTAGCTTGTTATTGTTGGTAAGTCATAGCACTTAGCGTGTTATTGTTGGTAAGTCATAGCACTTAGCTTGTTATTGTTGGTAAGTCATAGCACTTAGCTTGTTATTGTTGGTAAGTCATAGCACTTAGCTTGTTATTATTGGTAAGCCATCAAACCTAGCATGTGGTATGTTTTAACAAGTGCATCACAGTTGTATGCTGTAAGGTGTTGAACATGTTTACCACAGTACTGGATTGTGGTATACTGAACAGGTATTTCTAGCATTGTTATACAGAGCTATACTTGTGCAGTAGTAGCCTATACCATGTGCTAGTCTATAAATAATATTGGGGGCATTTCTTTGATTTCAAGCACAGTAGTCAGTGCAGTCAATTCACAACTGAAAGTTCCCTGGTCTGATTGCCACGTAGGATGGACAAATTTAGACATGTTTCTTTACACCTCATGCATCTGTTCACCCAGTAGTAAATAAATACCCAAAAGTTAGGTTGATGTAGGTTGCATCCAGGGGAGAGGTTAGGTGTTGGCCAAGGGGTGGCAGCTCAGTAAGCCTAGCAGGTGTCCTAACCCCGACAGTGGGAAACAAAATACACAACAATGTTCTCTCATTTTTCCTTCAGCAACATACAGCAGAGCATTGTTGTAGACAAATTTTGATAATGACCACAATGTAATATTTGTAACAAGCAGTTTGCGTAATGTATCTTTTAAAAGATCTGCTCCCACCTGAACAGGTGTAATTATCTGAATAACTATGAGTTTCAAAGAATTGCAGCACAGTAGTTTAGAGAAAAAGAGAAGAACAATAAGGTGAAAGGGGATGATACTTAGAAAAAGATGAAGAATATAGTGAGCGGGCTGATAATTACAAGAGCTAAAGAATATAGTGATAAGCAGGAGAGTATGATATGGTTAAATTTAGTATGGTATGGTTGACTTTAGTATGGTATGGTTGACTTTAGTATGGTATGGTTGACTTTAATATGGTATGGTTGACTTTAGTATGATATGGATGACTTTAATATGGTATGGTTGACTTTAGTATGATATGGATGACTTTAATATAGTATGGTTGACCTTAGTATGGTGTGGTTGACTTTATTATAGTATGGCTAATTTTAATATTGTATAGTTGACTTTATTATGGCATGGTTAGCATTAGTAGGGTATGGTTAACCCTTAGACCGGTTATGGAGAAATGGTCATACTCACCTATGCACAACAAATATAAAAATAAAAAAAAAATCACTATAGAATTATTAATTTGTATGGACAATGTAAAAAAACACAAAAGTAACTGAATATTTATAGTTTCACCGAGTGGAGGAGGTGTGCAAGGCTGCGTCTGGCACTTGTCAACACCTGGTGCTCAACTCTGCTGACGCTTCCTGTTTTATCCTCCAATGTTTCACTTGATTGTTTTATCACTTGTTTTTCTTTATATACATCCACAGAAAACTATTATATCCATATTTGCATCATAAATGTAAAACCCAGACAACAATTGTTTAAATCATCATATGACGATGACTGCATATTCCCTAGTAACATTTGTGACGATTACCTTGCGTTGATTTTGGGGATCAACATCCCTGGGACCTGGTCTCTGACTAGGCCTCCTGGTTGCTAGTCTGGCCAATCAAGCTGTTGCACACAGCTGCATGCAGCCTGACATACGTATTACAGCCTGGTAGATCAAGTTGGTCAATACGATAAGATAATCACATTCGTTCCATAAAATGGTAAAAGGATTTTTCATGGGTCAGTGTAAACTCCATTACATTCACATAAACCTATTATATCCATATTTGCATCATACATGTAAAACCCAGACAATAATTTTTTAAATCTTCATATGATGATAATAATATTGTATAGTTGACTTTAATGTGGTATGGTTGACTTTAGTATGGTATGGTTGACTTTGGTATGGTCAACTTTACTATGGAATAGTCAACTTTAGTTTGGTATAGCTTAGTATGGTATGGTCAACTTAATATTGTATGGTATGGTTGAATTTAGTATGGTATTGTTGACTTTAGTATGATGTGGTTGGCTTTAGTATGGTGTGGTTGACTTTAGTATAGTGTGGTTGACTTTAGTATGGTGTGGTTGACTTTAGTATTTTGTGATTGACTTTAGTATGGTGTGATTGACTTTAGTATGGTGTGATTGACTTTAGTATGGTGTGATTGACTTTAGTATGGTGTGGTTGACTTTAGTATGGTATGGTTGATGTTAGTATGGTATGGTTGACTTTAGTATGGTATGGTTGACTTTAGTATGGTATGGTTGACTTTAGTATGGTGTGGTTGACTTTAGTATTTTGTGATTGACTTTAGTATGGTGTGATTGACTTTAGTATGGTGTGATTGACTTTAGTATGGTGTGGTTGACTTTAGTATGGTGTGGTTGACTTTAGTATGGTGTGGTTGACTTTAGTATGATGTGGTTGACTTTAGTATAGTGTGGTTGACTGTAGTATAGTGTGGTTGACTTTAGTATGGTGTGGTTGACTTTAGTATGGTGTGGTTGACTTTAGTATAGTGTGGTTGACTGTAGTATAGTGTGGTTGACTTTAGTATAGCGTGGTTGACTTTAGTATGGTGTGGTTGACTTTTGTATGGTGTGGTTGACTTTAGTATGTAGTGGTTTACTTTAGTATGCTGTGGTTGACTTTAGTATGGTGTGGTTGACTTTAGTATGGTGTGGTTGACTTTAGTATGGTGTGGTTGACTTTAGTATAGTGTGGTTGACTGTAGTATAGTGTGGTTGACTTTAGTATAGCGTGGTTGACTTTTGTATGGTGTGGTTGACTTTAGTATGTAGTGGTTTACTTTAGTATGCTGTGGTTGGCTTTAGTATGGTGTGGTTAATTTTGTATGGTGTGGTTGACTTTAGTATGGTGTGGTTAATTTTGTATGGTGTGGTTGACTTTAGTATAGTGTGGTTGACTTCTGTATGGTGTGGTTGACTTTAGTATGGTATGGTGTGGTTGACATTAGTATGATACAGAAATATGACACATGTTGTGATTAATAGTGAGCTTCAAGCTTAAGTGTGTGAAATATACATCAGCCTAACCACTGCTACAGATGGCGGAGTCGGGTGTGAGGATGACAAACTGTGGCTGCTTGATTGGCTTGAAGCAGGAAGGGCGTCTATCTCCAAAAATACCACGTGCTTCGTACCCACACTCAACTACATGGCCACCATGTACAGCTTCAATGGACGAGAACTGCTCATGTGTTTGGGCTACAAGAAGGTTAATGTGTGAAATTATTCCTTTTCTGTGGAGAGCCCTTCTGGTTCCCCGGAGCTTACCGGGCTGATTTGCATATATTAGACCGTGGCAATAGTCCTTCGAATGGAGTTCTAATGCCTACCCTGGACCACGAGCCTGGCTCTCTCAGAGAGACACGAGGAGCAGTGGATTATAGACACTCCCCTGTGGTTGGAAGCATTCTGTGTCGGCCATCGACAGGGTTAGGCACCTAAGAGGTAGGCATCCCAAAACAGACCCCAACTTGTGAAACATTGCTACCGTAAGCCAAACTGCTTAGCAGAACTCCCCAATCTGAAAAAAACAAACAAACAAGCATGATGTCACACCTGCCACCATGCCACCTGTCTGCACAAGTCCTACCTCCCTGGGAGTGGGAAGGGGGGGGGGAAGGGACTCCAGACCTCCACGCCAGCTATCCAACCTCAGTTCTGAGGCTGTTGTACTTGGTGCTGGTCGTTCGACTCTGGATCCAGACTCTGTGCAGTGCTGTGCTCTTGTGGTGTGTTGTTCTGCTGTGTTGTGGTGTACTCACCTAGTTGTGCTTGCGGGGGTTGAGCTTTGGCTCTTTGGTCTCGACAGACACACCCGACTGGTGTGCGAGCCTGGAGTAATTCACGAAGTATAAAAGGGCTGCATACGCCTAGGGCTCTCTTCCTTAGGTGCTCTGTAAGTACTACCCTTGCGATTTGGGGTTATCTTTCATAAGTCATTTGGGAACTGACTCCATAGGAATCTTTTGCTGCTCGGTGATTGCCCTCCCTTGGGGTCAGCTGGGGTTTTTATAGCCACTGTTTGACTGGGTAGGGGGATAGTATCATCGCTGGTAGGGGTGCCAGGTACTGTGCAGCTTGTCTCTATTACACTCAGTGGCTGGTTCTGTTCCTCCTAAAGACGTGCTTTTGCTCGGTTTTTCTTTTATTTTTGTTTCTTGCCTGGTGGGGGTCTGCCCCTTGCTCATTGTCCACCATCTGTTATTCAGGTGGTCCGCCGCTAGGTCCCCATAATTGTACACGTCGCAGGGGTTCAGCTTTAGTTGTTCTCTTGTTAGTTTGGGCCAACCGGTTAACAGTACTGTATCTTGCCTGGGCTTCCCTTAGCATTCAGCCTAATGGCTCTGGAAAATCCCACTGGGGTTCATTGGTCCGATGGATGTGTCTGCTGGGTCCCATCTCGCCTTATGCGAGTTCGAGGGTTGCTCTGTTCCCTTGTCTTAGGGTGACACTCACCATCTTTGCCTCCACCATGCTGTTTGTTGGGTCAATGACACCTTTGACCCGGAGTCCTGTGAGTGGTGGTCCTTGCTGGTACTCCAATTCATCCAGTCCACTGATACTGATATTCAGGTGCAGGCGGCTTCGGCATTGCTTGCAAGATTTTGGTTGCTGCAATATGCTAGGTTGGTTGCCTTTCCGGATGCCCAGAGGCTGCCCCGCTTTGGTTATAGGGACTCAGACTTGGGGCCATTACTCGCTTCGACTTTGGTTTCATCTGCTCTCCCTAGTCTTCCCCTGCTGTTGTTTGTCCTTCTTCCCCTTCCCTTTGCTGCTGGCTCCCAAACGTGTGAGGGTTTCGGAGTCGGGGCGGGGTTTAGATGGTCGTGAGACTCGGGCAATTTCAGTGGGGTGCCCCATCCGGTTCAGCGACGAAGGCATTCGAGCCTGTTCCTCCAGCCAGAGGACCCGCCTTTTCCCAGCTTTTCCGGTTGACGCTGCCTTTTCTTTAGGGCAGAGGGTTTGGAGGACGGCTCTGCCCTGGGTCCTGACATGGAGGATCCCAGGGCTGGGGAGGAACTGACTTGGCGGGCTTGGGCCCCATTTGATCCTGCATGGGTGTTGGTACCCTCGGCGTGGGGCTTGTTGTTGCAGGTGGGGGGGGTTTTCCTTACCCCCCTCCCTGTACAATTTTGATATGAGTTCTGCTCCTCCCCGGGCTTGGTTCCAGATTCCCTTGAGTTCTTTGGTCCCTTCCGTCTGGAGGTTTTTGGCTTCCCGCATACTGCCTAAGGAGGTTTGGGAGGCCATTGTGGTGTACCTCCTGGGTGACCCGGATTTTGCCTTGATAATGGACTCTTCTTCGTTTGAGTTCTGTCTATTTTTCCTTATTGGGTGCGTTATGAGGTGCTGGAGTCGTCCTGATTAGCAAACTGTCCTTTCTTTCCTTTGGGGGCATGGCACTCATTCTGTTGGACCCTCATGCTTGATTGGCGGGATTGGAACATCTACGGTGGTTCAGGTTTACCAGGGGGTGAGTTGTAGCACCTCAATGCATGCTTATTCGCCTCTGTTCTTCCTAAGGATATTGGCTAGGTGCAGCTTCATGTGCAGGTTCCCGTTCTTTCAGCATCCCTGGTATCTGAGGATTTTCATGTCCAGGGGCATTTGGCTTCAGTTTTGTGTTTCTCTTCCCTTCTCGAGTTATCTTCGGACTGGCTTGAGGAGAATAGGGAGGCATTGGGTTCTGGCTCTGTGTTCGGTGCGCTTATTTTGATGGTTTGGGCATTGGCTGCCTTGGTGAAGTTGTCTGCGCCAATTCTAAATGAGGCTGTCTCTCTGTTCTTTGCTTCTCGCCTTGTGTGCCGGAATGCTGTGCTCACTCATTCTGTGGAATCCGTGTGGGCCCCTGGCTTTTAGATTTTTGTCACATTTTTGTTTGTTACTGTTTGCTGAGTCTGAGGTCGTGCAGTATCTGCAGGCTGCTTCTTCTAGCTGTCGCCCTTTGTCAGACTTGTTGGTTCTCTGGGGTGGCTGTGGGGGTCATTCCCGGAGGGGTTGTGCCAGGGTTCGGGGGATCCGTCGGTCGTGTGGGCCAGTGGTGCCACTTTCGGGGCCAGTGCTTCCTTCAGACCCAATGACATCTGGTCGACGCAGTGCTCGCTCTGCGCATTGGTCGGGTTCTCGTAAGGGGCGTCGGTCCTTTCAGGGGTTGCCCCCATTGATGGGGTAATGGTGGGGAGGCTCGCGCTGTTTGCTCATGCCTGGTCCCTCGAATTGTGGGCATTTCGGGTCGTTTCCTCTGGCCTGCAGTAGTGTTGGGTGGCTACTCCTCCTCCTGGGGGGGGGGTTCAGGGTTCACAGGGCAGACCTCTTCTCCTGCGCTCTGTCAGGTCATCTTAAGAGTGGGTGCGCTTGGGTGTGGTCGAAACGACTCCATCCCTCAGGTAGGTTTTCTGCCTGTTTCCGATCCCGAAACGGGACTGGGCAGATCTAAGGTTCATTCTGGCCTTGCCCCATCTGAACCCTGAGTCTTTTGTACCTCCTTTCAGATGACCACTCTGTCCCAGGTCTGGCTTTTTTTGGAGCCGGATGCTTGGATGGTGTCTCTCTGGACCTCCAGGACATGTATTGGCATGTCCTGATTCATCCAGGGTTTGGGGACTGGCTTGGTTTTGTCATGGGGCTACAAGCTTATCGCTTTCGTTGTCTTCGATTCGGCTTGAATCTGGCACCTCGCATTTTCACATGCCGTACCCGGGTCGTAGTGACCGGTTTGCTTCTACTAGGGGTTCGGGTTCTGGCCTACCTCGACGACTGATTGGTGTGGACTCCCAGCTGGTTCATGTGTTTGCTCGCCAGTACTAGTAGTTTGGTTCTTTCCCAGCTCACCGGGTTCGGGTTCTTGGTAAAATGGAGGATGTCTCTTCTGGTTCCCACTCAGGTTCGGACTTGGCTGGGTCTTGTGTGGGATTCTCAGACTGCCTCCTTGTCTCTCCATCCGACATCGTTATTTCAGCTGCGGTCCTGCTTTCTACTGTTTCTAGGGGGCTCCCGGATCACTCATCGGTTGCTAGAGCAGCTATGCGGGAGTCTGAACTTCGCCGTGCTGGTTTATCCGCCAGGTGGGTCTGGCTTCAGCGGCTGTTCTGGTTCCTTTGGGGACGCCCCGTCTGCTGCTCTTGCGATCGTTGGGTTTGGACTCCGGGGGGCCTTGCATTGACTGCTGTGTCGTCGGCTTCTTCTTTGGCTTTTTTGGGGTTCAGTGCCATTGCATCTATCCAAGCCCTCGCTCGATGTGTTCACAGATGCGTCGTCTCATGGCTGGAGTTTTGTGACCAGTGCTCACCAGGCCAGCCAGGGTTGGTGAGGTCCGTCCTTCTGTATGCTTACAGCACATTGCAGGAGTTCGCGGCAGTGTGGGCTGTCGCTTTGGAGGGATTGTGTCGCTCGTGGCGGTGTGGCTGTCGCTTTGGTGGGTTCGTGTTGCTCATGGATTGATGATCCGACTCCATTCGGACTGCGCCCTGGTGGTTCATTACCTGAACCGAGGGGGTTCGATTGTGGTCCTTGGCTTTTTGGGGCTGGTCGCTTCGGGTGACTCATCTCATGAGTTCTTGGGGTTTGGTTCTCCTGGCGGACGGACTGTCCTGGTTCATTGCCCTTTCCACAAAATGGACGGTCGACGCCGATTCGTTCAGTTGGCTCTGTTAGATACACGGGCACCCGGAAGTGGACCTCTTCATGGTTGTATGGTTGAGGCATCTCCTGGTATATGTGGTGCCCTTCCCCGACTGTGAGGCTGTCAGGGGTCAATACTTTTCGGCTCGACTGGTCGAGGTGCGGTTACCTATACCTCTTTCCGCTGGTTCAGCTGTTGCTTTGGGTTCTGGCTTGGTTGGACACTTATCAGGGGAGAGTGGTTTCTGGTGTTGCTTGCTCGGTGTCCGAACCTGGGGACTTTTCTGTCGTTCCCCACTTTCAGCAGATCGGTCCAGTCCAGTACGTGGCTGGTCGATATTGATGATCTTCGTATTTAGTCTTTCTGACACGGGTTTTCACCACTTGTATGGTGATCGGGTGGCTTCGTTGACTGTGTCCCGCTTGGGTGTTTCGTCTCGGTGGCATTATAAAGTCTCTTGGTGGTCCTTTTGTCACTTTTTGTCTCTTCGTAGGTAGTCTTCGGTTTCAGATCAGGTTGTTTTATCCATTTATGGTAGTTTCAGGACCGTAATCTTATGCCGAATACTGTTACTGTACCTCATATCG